GGAGTTGAGGGTTCCGCCAGCTTTAGGGGTTCAGCATAGTTTACCGAATGCCTTGGTTCTTAGGTGGGAAAACGGACACACAGTTAGGAACGGGCCAGGAAATGGCAAGGCTCAGTGTCTTCATGGTCTTCCTGATGTGTGACATTTGAGGTTCAGTGTCTTCATGATCTTCCTGATGTGTGACATTTGAGGTTCAGTGTCTTCATGATCTTCCTGATGTGTGACATTTGAGGTTCAGTGACTTCATGATCTTCCTGATGTGTGACATTTGAGGTTCAGTGTCTTCATGATCTTCCTGATGTGTGACATTTGAGGTTCAGTGTCTTCATGGTCTTCCTGATGTGTGACATTTGAGGTTCAGTGACTTCATGGTCTTCCTGATGTGTGACATTTGAGGTTCAGTGTCTTCATGATCTTCCTGATGTGTGACATTTGAGGTTCAGTGACTTCATGATCTTCCTGATGTGTGACATTTGAGGTTCAGTGACTTCATGGTCTTCCTGATGTGTGACATTTGAGGTTCAGTGTCTTCATGATCTTCCTGATGTGTGACATTTGAGGTTCAGTGTCTTCATGATCTTCCTGATGTGTGACATTTGAGGTTCAGTGTCTTCATGATCTTCCTGATGTGTGACATTTGAGGTTCAGTGTCTTCATGATCTTCCTGATGTGTGACATTTGAGGTTCAGTGTCTTCATGGTCTTCCTGATGTGTGACATTTGAGGTTCAGTGTCTTCATGGTCTTCCTGATGTGTGACATTTGAGGTTCAGTGTCTTCATGGTCTTCCTGATGTGTGACATTTGAGGTTCAGTGTCTTCATGATCTTCCTGATGTGTGACATTTGAGGTTCAGTGTCTTCATGATCTTCCTGATGTGTGACATTTGAGGTTCAGTGTCTTCATGATCTTCCTGATGTGTGACATTTGAGGTTCAGTGTCTTCATGATCTTCCTGATGTGTGACATTTGAGGTTCAGTGTCTTCATGATCTTCCTGATGTGTGACATTTGAGGTTCAGTGTCTTCATGATCTTCCTGATGTGTGACATTTGAGGTTCAGTGTCTTCATGATCTTCCTGATGTGTGACATTTGAGGTTCAGTGTCTTCATGGTCTTCCTGATGTGTGACATTTGAGGCACCCAGATGACTTAGAGGGCACAAGGAAGTACTTCCATTTGGAAGAGGAAATGAAGTTACTTGAAAAGTACATGGGTTTAACAATACTGATTTGTGCCAGGTATTTGGTGGCGCATGTCTTTAATCCCAGCACTCGGGAGGCAGAGGCAGGTGGATCTCTCTGAGTTCAAGGCCAGCCTGGTCTACAGAGTGAGTTCCAGGACAGCCAGGGCTACACAGAGAAACCCTGTCCCAAAAAACAAACAAACAAAACACTTATTCACAAAATATACTCAACTGAAAAAAAATTAAATAACATAAATCTACATGAAACTAAATGTTAAAAATAAAAATAAGATGGAAAAAGATAGTGCCGTCAGTTATGCGATTACACACAACACACCGTCGAGGGCAGACGGTGCAGTTTACAGCAGCATGTGCAGGTCATCCCTCATGGCTGTGCCCTGGTACACATGACTAAAAGATCTCAATAGAAAACAAAATTGAAAATATTACAGAACCACAACTTTTTAAAAAGAAAATGTGACAAAAAGGCTCCTTTTGAAAATAATTCCTAAATGTTTCCATTCTGGGTCGAGGCTGGTGCTGCTCCTGTAGGCCAAGCCATTGCATGTGCGCAGGAAGGTTACTTGAGCCAAATGGATTTTTTGTTTTTAAAGATTTAAAATGTTTAAATTTTATGTGAAAGTGTTTTTGCCTGGCTGTGTGTACACACAGCATGTATGTCTGCTTCCGTAGAGGGCAGAGGAGGGCACGGGATCGCCGCATGTCTCTGGGAAGTGAAGAGCAAGCGCTCTCCACCATTGCAGTCTCTCCAGGCCTGAGCCAGACAGGCTAAGGAAAATATTGAGAGGTTAAGATCAGTTTAAATACAAACGTGGCAGTAAACCACGCTTTCCCAGTGCTCTGGTGTGATAACATAAGGCCAACACAAAACCCATTTTAAAATCACCCTGGTGCCTCTTTGCTGAATCAGCATCCTGATGGAGCATAGCTCCTACCTGGACCACACGCAAATAGTGTTTAAAACAGGACAAACAATCTAATAAATGGCATATATTTGCCGCTGTTAAGATTGCAGATGTCAGTCTTCACGTAGTTAACGAATCCTTAGCAATTTGGAGCCAGCAGCCGCACTAGAGTGAATAAGGAGGCAAACGTAGGACTGGGTTGACAGACTCCAAGAGAAAAGCACGTCATGACACCACTGACCTATGGGTTTATATACTGCTAATAATAATAGTTGTTCTTTCTTTCCTCTGCTTTTGTTTTTTGGGACAGGATTTCTCTGTGTAGCCCTGACTGTCCTGGAACTCACTCTGTAGACCAGGCTAGCTTCAAATTCAGAGATATCTGCCTTTCTTTGCCTTCCAAATGCTGGGATTAAAGGTGTGTACCACCGCTGCCTGGCAACAATTGTTTTTCTTAAGGTAAAGCCACTTTTGTAAATACTGCAATGATAAAAGGAAGGTTCATTTTATTACTATGAAGTGAGAAATAGAGTTAGGGGACCAAAACTGTCTACTCCAGAATGAAAACGGAACCATTTCTAATAGAAAGACTAGTTGGGAAAAAAGTATTGTTTCAGCATTTTCTTTCTTAAAAGATATTTACTTATTTATTATGTCTATAGTGTTCTGTCTGTATGTCTGCCAGAAGAGGACACCAGATCTCATTACAGATGGTTGTGAGCCACCGTGTGGGTGCTGGGAATTGATCCCGGATCCTCTGGAAGAGCAGCCAGTGCTCCCAACCTCTGAGCCATGTCTCCAGCCCCTTGCCTCAACTTTTTTTTTCTTAATTCTTTTTTTTCTTTTTTTTAAATTTATTTATTTATTAAAGATTTCTGTCTTTTCCCCGCCACCGCCTCCCATTTCCCTCCCCCTTCTCCTATTAAGTACCCCCCCTCCTCAGCCCGAAAAGCAATCAGGATTCCCTGTCCTGTGGGAAGTCCAAGGAACCCCCACCTCCATCCAGGTCTAGTAAGTTGTTGCCTCAACTTTTAATGAAGCAAAGTTATTGGTACTTAGGATGCTAGACGGCAATGTATATATGAAAACACATTTAATAAAGAAGACAAGAGCTGAGATGCTAAGAACACTCATTTAAAGCCCCAGTCTAAAGTCAGAGTTGGAAGACTCCGAGGAGCCAGCAAATCTCTGCTATTTCTTGCCCTCCTCTAAGTCGTTCCCTTTTCCTTTATGACAGCGCTCCTCAAAGAAAGTCACCCCAGAGCACACACCTGAGACATCAGCGAGGGTAATGAATCTAAGGTACATTTAAAACACTCGATACAGTTAGCTGCTAGTTATCTTCCTGTTTTTCCTTCACATGAAATATATTAAGATGCTGTTATGTGAGGAACTTCATTCTAGGAACTAAGTGTGACCCACATCAGGTCGGTTTCTTGCCCTCCGCTAGCTCTCACGTGCAGAAGACTTCAGAAGAAAATGTGAGCGAGTAAAAGCCTTCTAAAATGTAAAGCCTGAGAGTGTGAACTGAGAACATGAGCTGATATTAAAGCTAAGCACAAATATTCAAAAATTATATTTTTCCTTAATAGTTGAATCTCTTCTTGTACAGTTTGTAGCTATCTGGGCAAAAAATGTATTATCCAGTTCTACAAACTTTTTATTGTTTTGTTGAAAATAGATTCTTCTCTTATACAATACATCCCTACCAGTTTCCCCTGCCTTTACTCCTCCCAGCCCTCCAACCTCCCCACTCTCCCAGACCTATTCCCCGTCCTCTTCCTTTCAGGAAAGAGCAGGCCTCCAAGAGACAACAACCAAACATGAGAAAACAAAATACAAAAAGACAAGGCAAAAGTCCTCACACTGGGGCTGTGCAGGCCACCCAGGAAGAGGAAAAGAGTCCCAAGAGCAGGCAAAAGAGTCACAGACACCCAGCTCCCCCAACACAGAAACACTCAGCTAATAGTAATAACACACGCAGAGGACCTGTGCAGACCCTCTAGGCCCTGTGCGTGCGTACACTAAATTAAATCAATAAAAAAATACAGAAAAATTGCTAGTATAAATTTTGATAGGCTGTAATGGTATAATTTTTCATAATTTCTTATGTTAATTCATATATAAACAAGGGTTGAAACCAAGAACACATTCTATCAAAAACAATATGAAATGAATACAAAGTTTGGGAGGAAAAAGAAGCTACGTCCAAGGACAGTTCTGAAGCCAAAGGGATTAATCAAATGTCTGATACATTTTCAGTTTCCTTACAACTCTGAAACACGAACATAATGAAAGTCACACCAGTAAACTCTTCATTTTAAAGTCATTTGACATTTGTTTTATTTAATGTGTGTGAGTGTCTGCCTGCATGTATGTATGCGCACCCGTGCGTGCATGGTGCCTGTGGAGGTCGTAAGTCTTCGGATTCCGTGGTATTGGAGTTACAGATGGATGAGAGTCACCACGTGGGTGCTGGGAACCAAATCTGGGTCCTCTGCAAGAGCAACAAGTGCTCTTAACCACTGAGCCATCTCTGCAGCCCCCAGTAAAATAAATGAAACCACAATAATGGATATTTATCCTAAAGTTTGTAGCTCAGATTTTAGATTTGCTTTACCGTGAAAACTGTTCCTCATAAATTCTTTCCACTCCATGTTTTCAGACCTGAACCCAAGCCCACCACTTCAGAGTATCTACTACCTCTGGCATTTCTCAGAGTAAGATTAAAAAAAAACCAAACCCCCAAACCCAACTGGTCATAACTACATAGGTTTTTCTCTGACCGACTTTTGAGAGGCAGTGATTGTAGACCATTGCTGAGTTTAAGAATAAATGATAAAATAATGCAAATTCAGAAAGAGAAAATTAATCTCACAAAGGGGCATTTTACCTTGGAGCTGACGCTATTTTCGTCTTCTTCTGCTGTGGGCTTGGAAGTTCTAGGTGTGGGGGCGAGACTGAAGAATAAAAATGGACAAGAAGGGGGCATTTCAGTTATCAGTTATCTGTATAGATGCCATTTCTTTAAGAGGTATTTAAAGTTGATCTCTGTTTAAAAACCAAGTGAACACGCGATTGCTTGCCTTTCTCCTTCATTCTCTACTTATTATTTATGGGGACCTTTTCATATATCCATGACAAAGAATGGTAGACCTTATATTGGCAGAGCCCCAAAATGATTTGTCTTCACATATTTCTTCTCTTGAAGGCCAAAATGAAAATCCAGCTATTGGGACACCTATATTTTTGCTGCCTAGATTTAAAAAAAAAAATACAAAACAAGGCTCAAATATATAGTGTTCCTTCTTCGCTGTCTCCCATTTAATGGCTGTAATTCAGAATTGGGCATCTTGAGTCTTCATCTTGAGTCTTCCACAGACTGGAAGAAGCCAATGTTTTGCATAACCTTAAAACAGCACAGTCTCCCGGACAGAACTTCTGAAACGGCAGAAAGACAACGGACAACAAAGAACATTGTCTACACCATTACTGCCATATTCTCCTCAGATGCACTTCATTCCAGCTCTTCACAGACCAGCAAACAATAAAAACCCCCTTGGGCACATCCGCACTAGAGGGGAACTGGGGGGAAAGAGGAGCCATGCGGGGGAGCTTCCAATTTCCCAGGAATCGCTTCCCTCCAATGTCAGGTTGGGAGGGGTCAGGATTTGAAGTCCAGACCAGGCCTGGGGGCTGGCATAGATGCCAACTTGACACTAAGCACTCACACTCTAAGATCCTCCTTCAGGGCTCAGACATATTCTCTGTGTCAATGCGTGATGATAAAAATATCCCTTATATTTGGAAAGATGAACTTCCACTGGACCTCATAGCCAGAGTTAATACGCCCTGAGGTCATGTGAGCACTAAGATTGCTGCCCTACTGAATACTCAGCCTTTGTTGAACCACGGGCTGGAGAGATGGCTGGGCAGTTAAGAGCACTGGCTGCTCTTCCAGAGGACCTGGGTTCAATTCCCAGCAACCACATGGTGGCTAACAACAGTCTGTAACTCCAGTTCCAGGAGATCTGATACCCTCCTCTAGCCTCCACGAGAACTAGGCACACACAGACATACAGACAGACAAACCATCCACGCACATAAAATAACAAGTAACCCCCTCCTCCTAAAAAGAACCATATGAAAATCTCCCTCACTTGGCTTGGATTTCCCATATTAGCAACTTTTACAACCTACACTAAAGCATGGTAATAACCTTAAATTATATACTACTTCATGCCCCTGTGCACCAGCTCCTGTGGTGTAATGGTTAGTGCTCTGGACTCTGAATCCAGCGATCTGAGTTCGTGTCTCAGTGGAACCTGCTCCTTGAGGGAAGAGACCTAGTCAGTCATCCGCATCAACAGACCATGGAACCCAATATAAATGTGCTGCCCATGCAGGCTTCAGCACCGCCGGGGGCATGCTTCCTTCCTTTCCATGCCCCTGACCCAGGTAATGCATGGGTATTATTTGCTGAAAGCAGCAAATACAGGGTTGAAAGCAATCTTTGAAAGTGAATATTTAGCACAAATGTTAAACATGGCATTTGGATATTGGTTTGCTAAATGTTTGTGTACTGATTGTTGTCTGGGTCAGTCAGTTAATGACTTAATCTCTTGTAAGCCCTGTTAAAGATTCTTGTATCTCATTCTTTCCTCATGTGATGCTCTCTGGGTTCTTCAATAAAGACAGAAAAAAGGAGTTTTGAGACACACACAGGGGCATGAAGCAGAGAACTCAAATATGGGCCATTCTTGGTTAAGTGCCTCCAAAGGGAAGTGTTTTCCCTTCTTTCCTCAAGGGGACACCAGCGCATTATTGGTGGCCTGTAGTCAATCACCAATGCATTTAATCCACACCTTCTCCGACTTTACACCTCAGGCCTGTGAAAACGCAGGCTCCTGAGGTAAGGTCCAGCTGAAGAGATTGAGATTCCAGGCCTTATTTCCTGAGCTTGCCAAACACTTGGGGATCTCAGCGCCCAGCCACAGGTTGACCTGATAGGATTTCTCTCAGACAGTAATTCAGTCTGTGTCTTCCTAGGTGACCATGTATAAATTAACAATGAAGTAGGTAAGAGAACAATGCTACCTGGTAGACTCATCGTCCACCTGAAACTACTCAAGTATCATTTAACAAAAACCTTGAGTTTTGTCAGCTTCTACGGTCTCATAAAAAAGAGCCTTTCCCTGGAACTCCTGCATTTGTTATTCCCATGTGCTCTCCTAGATCCTCCAACATTCTGTATCAAGGATTTCCACATTATCACCACGCATGATCTGTTCCTTACCAACCCCATTCTGTTAACGCTGCTGGGATAGCCCAGAGTGAGCTCTTTACCCTCTTCCCTGGGATTCTCTCTGTCCACCTGCCATCCTACTGAGACTCATCACTACTGAGGGGAGCTCCTGGCCATAGACTTAAGGGTCCCATTGAAATGCGTCTCATTGCTGCCATGCAGTATATCCAAAGGAGTCATTGCAGAATCTTTCCATTTCAGGTTCTCCAACACAGCAGCCATGTGGAGAAAATTCTAAACACAGGTTCAAGCAACTGTGGGCAGCTTGATTAGTCTCCAGCATCCCCTAAAGTTAGGAAACTGTACAGGCAAAGGAATTACTTAGCGGCCAGATATAAAAAATAAATAAATAAATAAATAAATAAATAAATAAATAAGAAGCCAAAGGAAATAATCACTCATAAAGGTAGTATATTCATTGGAAAAGAAAATAGACTGGAAAAAGTGGTAGAGGAACTAACCTGATATGGCAGCTCATATCAGTAAGCAGAAAAGTCAATAAAAATATCTTCCAAAGAGAATATGAATATTACTTATAGAGCATGCAAATATTCTTCACTTCTAATAGAATAATTATGTATCACTACTATGTACTATGGCCACATGTCCTTGAGAGCTCTGCTACAAGCAAGGCAAGGCTTCCCAATACAGCGTTACATTAAATTACCAGATTATGATGGAGCATGGAAGAAAAACTCAATGTTGTGTCAAAATCTGACTTTCTGAACTGGTGTTATATAGATCTGTATTTTTGCCCTTTCAGTCTATGCAGAGGAGGCGGAGACCACATCATATAGCTAGGCAGGCAATTAAATCATAGCTCAGGCACATGACAATGGCGGGATTATGAGCCAGTTAAGCTGCCCTTCAAATGGGAGTAGCCAATTATTGGGAGTAGTAGTAGTTTTATTTGTTCATTTGTTTGTTTGTCTTGGAGACATTCTTTTCCTGTGTAGCCCTGACTGTGCTGGAACTCACTCTGTAGACCAGGCTGACCTTGAACTCATGGCGATCCACTTGCCTCTGCCTCCAGAGTGCTGGGACTAAAGGCGTGTGCCACCACTGTCCAGCATGAGAAGTATGTTATAACTGGATATTTTGCATACAATCTGTGATTTCTCTGAGATGGCAAGTGGTATGTACATCATATTGCATCTAGCCCAGTGAGTACACAACAAATATTAGTTTCTTTTCTCTGCATCCACTAAAGACTGCCTTAAACGGTTAAATTAGTCACATCTTACCTTGCTTTAGAGTAGCATGCAGGACATGCATCTGCTTCTGAAGATAAAAGAAAACTGTATTTTAACTCAACAAAATGGAGATAAAGAAGAAAATGGGGAAGTGCAATCTTTACATTATATGACTGGGGCCTCTTCTGGAGCACGAGTCTCCTTAGAACCATAGCTGACTGGGAGTCCACCAGGAAGATCACTTAGACCAGTGGCTGGAGGTTAAAGCATTGGAGTTCTTAATTTTGAGACAGGGTCTCTCTATGCAGCCATGGCTGTCCTGAAACTCACTTTGCAGACCAGGCTGGCCCTGAACTCACAAGAGATCCTCCTACCTCTGTCTCTGCCTCCTGCGTGCTAGGATTAAGGACATGTGCCACTACCTCTCAACCTTAATTTAACTTCTCACATATTTCAAATGAAAGCTGGAAGAGAGAAACGTCTCTAAATGTAATTCATGAAAGCAAACACCTCTGCCCAACCCCACAATCACAGGTGAGCCCTGCCAGACTGACAGCAAACCGTGCAGCCTGCAGAAGCAGAAACCGGCTGCGTCAAAGGGCTCTGTGGTCTTCTGGACCGAGACACTGGGGTCAGTTCTGTTCTTAACTTGTTATTACAAAATACGGCCTCTCTAGCTTTTCGTTCAGAACCGTGCTGTGTAAGATGGGAGAGTAGTGCCACGAGGAGGGCCGATCTGCGGGGCAGGGGACAGGTTCTCTCTGGAGTCTTTCTCTCCCTCTGGCTGTCCCGGAAAGGTGCTAACAGCCTCTTCCATTTTGCCTCCAATGGAAAGGTCTCACGGGAAGAACAACCCTTTATATTTTTATCCACGCTTAACCATAAGCAACAGATGCCTAGAAGGGCACGGCAGAGACCAAGAAAGTTGGCATATAATGGGGAAATGGCGGAAATAAAACTACTGGAGCCAGAGGGTGGCTCAGCAGTCGAGAGCCCTGAGTCTCCTCCAGAGGACCTGCCTCCATTTACAGAACCCACATGGCCGGTTAGTCATTTGTGATTCCAGTTCCGCGGACTCTGGCGCCCTCTTCTGGCCTCTGGGGGCACAGGGTATGCACAGGGTACACAGGCATCTGTGCAGGCAAGGCACCCATCCATAAACATTAATTTAAATTAAGATAAAATTTAAAAAGCTATTATCTCGCTTAAGCGTCTAGAATATAACAGTAATATCATATCGTGCCTGTGGCTTTTAATTGCCAACTTGACACAACTGATAGGGTATCTCAGGGAGGGATTGTCTAGATTAAGTTGCCCTGTGGCAACATCTGTGGGGATTACCTCTGCTTTGTTCCCTGATGTGAGAGACCCTACCACTGTGGGTAGCACCGTTCAGATCCTGAACTCTGCGGCAGTGGACAAAGGAGCTCAACACAAGCGCACATGCATCTGCTGCTCTCTT